CAAAAGGTGTGTATCCCTACCCAGTTAATATTTCTAAGTGTATACTCCTTTTGTTAACGCTTAACAACATTAGGGCAAAGTAAAAAGGCAACCTATTGACAAAACGTAACCCTAAATTTTTTTCTGATCAACATCAAAAATTATAACTAGTGTAAGTTTATGTGGTGGTATTCCTGTTAAAGGTGCCATTGAAATTCTATCAAATTTGGCTTAATCATCGGCTGATTCTTAATTTTGTTGCGAGCAACAGACACTACCTGTTTAGATCTCCAAAAAATATTGTTTTTTCCTCCAATTGGAACTTGTTATAGTACTTACTTCATTAACAAAGTACCTGGGGACCGAGCTTTGCTCAGGTAAAATCGTTAGTTTAATATGAAAGCAGTCTTAGTATTGCAGATACATTAATCCATTCCCAAACTCCACACTGCTCGCCTTTACTACTTCGTTCACCACTTCCTACCCGTGGGTCTGTTTCCTTCCCTTCCCATAGCATTTTAAGATTGCAGATACCTTAATCCAATCGTCATAAACTGTTCCCGCACTCCGGACTGCTCTCCTTTACTACTTCCTTCACCACTTCCTACGTTGCAGACCTGTTTCCCTCCCTTTCCATAGCATTTTAGGATAACAGATACCTTAATCTAATCGTCATTAATAGTTCCCACACTCCGGACTACTCGCCTTTACTACTTCCTTCACCACTTCCTACGCCGCGGACCTGTTTTCCTCCCTTCCCATAGCATTTTAGGATTGTAGATACCTTAATCTAATTTTCATACAGTAAACATTTCCCACACTCCGGACTACTTACCTTTACTACTTCCTTCACCATTTCCTACGTCGCGGACCTATTTCCCTCCCTTCCCATAGCATTTTAGGATTGTAGATACCTTAATCTAATCGTCATAAACAGTTACCACACTCCGGATTAATATTTACCACAAAACTAATAACAACAATTAAACGAAATAATCTGCTTGGAATAATTCAGTAAGGCCACCAGAAATTATGCGAATCGGTGTATTGTTAATCAACGCTTAATGGTATTCATCGGACTCCTTTTCTTTTGTACTGTCTTTTGTAAATAGGCCATATGTGCATGCGCAAGCTGAGGTGCCCGTGGGTACAGAACGTCACGTTATGTCTTAAAATGTAAACAAAATGACAATAATGGGGAATGTTTTCTCAAAAGGCCCATGTTAAATTTTCAAAAGTTTGTACTCATATTATGGCGAAAATAAATGTTTCCTGGCTATACCACTGGTCTAGAACTTATTTTTGACACAGAACTTAGTTATTCTGTAAATATAAACGTTTTTGTTAGAGCCGATTCCCAGATCGAGTTGACAAGTATTCAAACTTTACTCGTATTATATATAGGATATATATTTCCTGTACGAACTTATTTCATGTTTATTCCCAGGTTTTGTTTTAAGAGTGGCCATTGAAGTTATTCCACCTCATAAAAAATATTAATTAAACACTACAATAAATCTTAAATTTAAAATAAAGAAAGTGTAGAATAAATCTAGAACATATGTTTTGAAATAAAAACAAAGCAGAAGTTTTCCATTTAATCTTCAATCGTTAATTCGGATGAGTTCCCCCCAACTTTTTCTACATTTCTAAAGATATCAACTCCGGACCACGTCAGATCATTGTAGAGTAGTAAGTACTTCATTTTGACTGGGTTAGAATTTTTGGCCACCATCTTGGATCCGCCATATTGGATACAAAGTTATTTCATCAAATGGAAAGGTAGGGTTGTGACCCACCGTTCCAAACAACATTCTTACCCTTAATACGATGTTGCAATCCGTTTTTTAAAATATTGATCAATTCTACAGTTATGAGAACTTTTTATAACTTAATTTTGAGCCTATTTTAACATTGTGCATTTACAAACTGAGTCCATAATCTCAAAATAGTGCTAGTAAAGATAAGTGCACCATTCATTGTCGAACTATTTTCCAGTATCACATTGTGCATTACAGTACTTACCATAAATAGTTGCGTAGTTGTGTAATGCAAATATATAACATCTATATTTCCAATAATATAGATATTTCCATCATACAATATCATATGTATTTTCCTAATCTAATTGGAAACTAGTTTTCTTTGTCTCAACTAATTTGAGAGAACGGCTGGGTGTAGAAACTTGGTAGATGTGTCCAAAGAAAGGTTGGTTTGTAGATGAGTCAACAAAAGAGAAATGAGCTAATGCCCCAGAGGCCTTAATAGTGTAAAGAAAAGAGTTGTTTACATTATGAGTATATGGCTATGTTACACTATCTTATTCTAAAATAGTTGTTAATATTAAAACTGTAGTAGCAGTTACCCAGCGAGCGTTGCTGCACTTAACTACTATTAATTTAAATGATAATCTTTTTTTATGATAAATAACAACAATAGGGATACCAATTGACAATAACTAAATCCTTATATATAATTCTGTAAGACAAAATTTTTACCAGAAAATTGTGGACGTCTAGTAAGTCGCAGAAAGGTGAGAGAGGTCTTAAATTAAAGGTCTTGACCCCAAGGACTAAGGAAAAATAGCAGAATTCCCATAAAGTTGCCAGAAAACGAGGTATAACGTAAAATATCCACCATAAGAAATGCATGGGGACTGAAAAACGTCTGCATTCTATCAGCTGTTACCTATTTATTTGCAATGTTTACATTTATTCCGAAAGTCAATGTTGGTAAATAATGTTTCAAAATGAATTGTGTTTAATTTTTTTGTTTTCCGTTTTTATAATGAGTGAAGTAACTAGACAAGCTAGGAAAAGACCTGCAAGACGTGGATGAGTGTCCAGGAATTAAACAGACTTAAGAAATGCAAAAGAGAACGTCATATAGGGCCTAACTGTGAAAGAAATCCAGAAACTGTTTTACAACCTGTCTTTAGAAGAACGCTGGAAAATGAGTTGAGTGTTGTTTCTCACAATCTAGGTCCTCTTAAACCACTTGCATGCATTGTGACGCATTTCACTTCGCAGAGGAGGCCACAATGGACATTTCAATGCATGTCGCCACAATGGACATGCCACAACCACAAGTAAATGGCGAACTAAAAGAACTGTTTTTACATGATTCGAAATTCATAAAAAACATAAGGCAATACAACAGTGCAATGGATTTTGCGTCACTTTCCGCTACACAAAAAGAGATTCCGGGAAATAGGCCTTACTGTCTTAAAATTCAGGGACAAATGCACAGATATATTTCTGACTTACTACCGCAAACTGGGGAGTTCCCTTCATAATAGTTTTAACCTTTACATTTGGTTCTCAAAATGGAAACTATAACAGAATTCGTAAGATTACAAAACAAATCTTCAATTTTAAACTAGAAAAGATGTGCAATGTTTTTTGATGTGGCTGTATGATTTCAGCTCTGATTCGTCGTGCTCCTGGCTCAGGCCAACCGTGTGCACGTTTCCATTTGTTAATATGTTGTGTTATTGATTTAATCATTATTTTACAATTGTATTTCATTGACACATCAGAAGCAACTAATATACGACTCCAACGGAAGGAAAACCAAGATATAAAACAAGAAACACTGTTAGTTTTAAGTAACATAAAATTGATAGTTTTAAAAATATTTCGAATATTTGTCTTTTTATATATGGTTTTTTTATTGTAGTCTAAATTAGGGGCTATGGCCCCTACAGGCCACTAGTATGTTATTATTTGTACTTTGTGTGAAAATCACACATTTCCTCAAATTAAACCTGTGATACTCAGGGATGCCATTGTGCCTTATTAATCGTAATTTAAAAAACAAGAACCAAAGGTAATTGTAGTCACTTAAATTCAAAGGGTGGTTCAGATTAAATAATCGGTATTCTTTGGATTGGATTAAGATTATATCTCCTTTGAACGTACCACTGATGATTTTTTCTTCGGTCAAGATTCGTTTCATTTTTTTATACGTCAGTCTGGTTCCACTATCAGACAGTAAATGCGCCGCGAGCCTGCAGATCGGGGAACGCAACACCCATCACTTTTGGAGCGAACGATCTTGGAGTGAATGCAACAGTTTACTATAATTGCATATTTCAATAATACTGCTCGTTCACTCCAATGTGCATTCGATCCAAATGTACAGTACACTTTGAAATTTGTATTTTACATAGGCCCGTCTACTTCTGGAGCTGACTGTACCCTTTGGATCGAATGAACATTGGAGTGAACGAACAGGCAAATAAATTGTAAAAATACTTTTTGGAGTGAACGATCTTGGAGTGAATGCAATAGACCCACTAAACCTTTGAACACTTATCGTCTTGTACATATTAACATTATCTAAGAATCTAATTGGTTCATTTCTCGATGACTTTTCTATTTTCCCTATACTCTCAGGTCTTCTGATATTTTTACTTCTCAAGCTCAATGAATTCAAATTGTATAGGTATAGTAAGAAGTCGTCGAAATTTGAATCGAAGGTAATCAAATTGAATGAGTTTGCGAACCAACATGATTGGACCTTGGGAAAACAGGAGTTTAAGAGAATTGTATTGGGTAAAAATTGGTTTACCCATTTTTGTGACTCAAAAAATAAAATTTTACAACTTCCCTCAAAACATTTTGAAGAGCTTAAAAACCCCAAATAATTTATTATATTGAAGTGTTTTCATGTGGTTATTGGTTATTTATTTACTTATTTTGTTATAGAAACAATAAAAAAAAATTAAATGCTCATATTATTTTTATGAAGAACAACTTACCTGTTGCAGTTTGCTTATATATGGATATAATTTGCTGATTAAATTTGGTAAATGTATGTATTTTACCTTATACATTATATTTTATATTCGCTTAGTCTGCAGGTTTGCTGTGGCGGGGTATTTGTGTGTATCAGAGCGAGTATGATTGTCTCTTAAAATTTTATTTTGGTTTGTAAGTTATAAGCTTGGCTGACATAACCAACAAACCTTTACGAAAACCTTAAGTATAAACTTATGCTGACCGATCGTGTTGTTACAGGTTTTTCCGATTGTTTGCCAGGCTGCTGAATGTAAGTATTCCAAATTAACTGTTATTATGTTTTGATTAGACAGATTTAAAACAATAAAGTTTGATTAAACGTCTCCTATTAATATTATAAATTTAAAAGTATGGATGTTTGTGTGTCACGAAGTTCCATCACGTGAAAACTACTGGACCGATTGAGCTGAGATTTTTCAGAGTGGTTTTCGAAGTCATGTCTGTGTGTGTGTACGTGTGTGTGTGTGTGTGTGGATGTGTACAGAAATACAGACCACACCTGTCGTCCGACTTTGATGAAATTTGGTACATAGGTACTAATCCCTTATATCTTCATACGTTTTTAAATTTTCAAATTTATATTTTTAATGGTGATTTTCTTAAAAAGACCCATAAAATAACGGAAACTCTGTATTTTTTCGAAAACGGCCCAAACGATTTTGATAAAAATTATGTATGTTATATTCGTATAAATTCGGGTACTCTGCTAGTATTTAATCTTATATATTAAACGTGACAGGGTTTTTTATTTCACGATTCTTAATCAACCATTTGACGGATTTTCATGATTTTTGTGTTAAAAGGAAGATAATTTTGAGAACTAGGGAATGTCGAAGCCATAATTTTAGTTTAGGGTTTCAGTTTTTTAGAAATTAAGTTTTAAATTTTAATAAGTCTAGCAGCCGACGCTAACATTCTACTCCAGCTTTTGGTATAATACTATTTGTTTAATATAACAGCTGTAAACATTCAGCGTTTTCGACACAAATTCAGCATTTGGATAAAAATGAAATGACATACGCAGGGTTGACTTATTTATACTATGTGTAATGCTATAATCATTGATAAGTTAATTTGGTAAGATTAATTTTTAATTTGGTAAGAGGATGAGAGATTATTCAAAATATACATAATAAAATACTAGATGTTTTAATTTATTTTTTTGAGCAGTCTTTAAAATCTTTAGTTTGTTTTAGTGCAATATAATTTGTTATAACTAACAGCTGGTTGATTATAAGAATATTGTATATAATTATGAGGTTAGCTTATTTACTCTGTGATTTTGTCATTGATTATAGGAAATAAGTAAGATTCTATAACCATTGATGTATACGATTCGAAGCTCACGAGTCTTCAAAAGGAAGCTCATGAACACTATTTTACTTCTAGACTTTTTGAGGAAAGGTTGGGAAAATAACAATGATCACATTTTTTAATTCATCTTGGCAGTTTTAATAATTACAATAAATTTTAAACTGCTTAAACTATGCTTGAATTAGGATTCGACATATTGATATAACTATATACAGTTTTAATGGACTACTTGATTCCCGTACGTAGGACGGGCCAACAGCTCGTATATCTAATATGAATGTTTGTCTGTCTGTTTGTAATATGCAGGGTATTCAAAAAGGTGGGGACATAATTTGTATAGTGATTCCTTGAGGGAAAATCAAGGTATAATATTTTTTTTAATCGCTTCGTTAACCAGATATCCGCAATTTTGTATTTTTTACATAAACATTTTTATCTTTGAATTTCTTCAACCGATCTCTATTAAATTTGGTATGTATGTTAAGGTAGAAGAGAACCATATTAAAAAAAATCACCTTGATTCAACTTTAAGTTTTAAAATGGCGGCCATTTTTATATTTTTAAACTTAACTTAGGCCTACTCAAAAATGGCTGATTTTATGAAAGAATGTTAAGGACACTTTTATTTAGAACTTTTAATTTCCTATCAAACGATACCAAGTTAAAAAAGATCAAATAAGAAGTAGCTGAAATATTGCGATTCTTAGTTGTAAAATGGGGTAGAATAAAAGCAGAAGCTAGTCAGGATTGCCCCATTTTACAACTAAATAGTAATATGCCAGCTGTGTCATATTCGATCGTATTGAATTTGGTATCGTTGGGTATCGATTAGATTGGGTATCGAAAATGCTTAATAAAAGTGTCTTTGATATTTCTTCATAAAATCAGCCATTTTTGAATATTAGTAATTTAAGTAAAAAATTTAAAATGACCACCATTTTGAAACTTTAAGTTAAATCAAGGTGAATTTTTATTCTGATATGGTTCTCTTCTACCTTAATATACCTGACCAGTTTCATAAATATCGGCTCAAAAAAGTTAAAGATAACAATTTTTATGTAAAAAATACAATATGGCGGATCTGGTTAACAAAGCGATTTTGGAAAAAATGTCAAGTTTGATTTTCTCTTTTTTTGACCCGAGGAATCACTACGCAAATTATTTCCCCACCTTTTTGAACACCCTGTATATTTCAAAATCCATAGGAAGGATTTTGACAACATTTTGGAATTAGGGACTAATAGCCCTAAAAATGTGATTAGAGACAGCCACTACCACAGAAAAATTTGTATTTTGCTACACAACTGATTTGAAAGTTCCAATATTTTTAACATGGCCTTATAGGTTGCTAAATAACTTTGTTCGTTGACAAAATAACAAGGGAAAAAAAATTCACTACTCATATGTGTTTATAGCAAACCATCCACAGTATACTAGCAAATTACAAAATACAGTCAAAAGAAAAAGGGTAAAACATCCGTTTTAACTAGTAAGCAAAGATTAAAATTACACTGAAGATTACTCGATATAAGGGAAAAATACTGACTATTTTACTTAGCCCTCTCCCACCAAAATTTAATCTCTGAAGTACTGAGGCGTTCCAAGTAAAATAATTACATCTGGGTGTTTTTTAATTGACATTAAACTATTACCTAAATGCTAAATGCTAAATAAAAAACGACAGAATATCAATTTCTTTAGAAGTAGTATCGAAAAAGCAAAAAATTGTGGTCACAAGCCATTTTGAAACTAATATGATTTTGTTCAAATCATATTGTTATCTGCTGTCTTTAGTGTGAGTAAAAGTCAAACAACTGGTTTCAATGACCAGAGGGAGAAAATACTGTGCGAGCAGCACTTAGCATAAGCAAGAAATTTTGAACACAAACATGTATCTTGTTTTTGTACAATTGCACGATTTTACAGTACAGAGAAGTTATTATTTCAACGATCGTCTGTCTATGGTTTGTAATAAATTTTTTTTGTAAATTATAAAATGTTTGTTTACAATATTGTTTTATTTTAACTACCGAGCAAGGCTCGGTTCTCCGGTACGATTAGTTTTACTGGATAGAAAAACACATCCCTCCAACATTAAAAACTGATTTTGGGTCCTTGGAGCATAGACGTTCTAACTCATAAAACAAAAGAACTACAAAGAAATTGTTTAATGCCGCAGTATACTATATATATATATTTAAATATTTAAATTACAATCACTCTGGTGTTTGAAAAAATATTTTTGGACAGTAAATAACTCTTAAGCGACTGTTTGAAATTAACGAAATTAACATTGATCTTGGCGGGTAAATCTAAGAGGGCCGTTAGCTTCCATGGATTCCCTTGGACAACAATTAAAAACTACAAATAACATTTCTAATCTCACAGGATACTAGATATTTAAATTATAATCACTTTGGTGTTTGAAAAAAACATTTTTTGGACGATAAATAACTCTTCTGCAGCTGTTTGAAACAATCCAAGATGGCCGCTAGCCTCCAAGGACTCTTAAGAAGAATGTCACAATCTTTCTCTAACACACACACACGCGCACACCCGAAATATGTTTGTAAAATCATACCAGTAATTAAAAGTAGTTTTTTTCTTTCTGTATTCTGTACAATATTAAACGAGTCACTCTTACAATTTTACCCATGGTAAATTAAATTAGTTTATTTTTAGTAACTTCACATTAATTGTACGTATAACCACAGAAAACGTACTACTATAACCCAGAATGCCAACCGCATGGTAAAAAGCATTAAGCGGTTTGAGAGAGCTTTGCCTGTCAATCCGTAGGCAGCGCCACCAGCGTTACGTTTTCTGTGGTTGTATAACTGAGCCAAGACTAATTTCAACCGACGAATGTCACGTCTTATTTTCGGTTTCTGTGTTCAAGTTGTTTTGTGAAGTCACTGTTCCAACGTCTCCAGTTTAACTGTTTTCCACACACTTATTTTTACTCCTACCGTGTTGCGTGACGTTGGCAACGAAGAATCCATTGAAATGTTTTCCAATACTTTTGCATCGGTCTATTTGTGAAATATAATGCAAAGAATGGTTTGTTTGTATTTTAGCTTTATTTTCTAAGCTATGGATTAATTTTACAAGCCAATTGTGCCTGATGGGTAAGTTGTGTGATTATTCTTAGAACTTAGGTTAGTTGATCTGAGCACATTGTTTCTATGGCTTCGAGCCTAGTACTGGGGTACGTCTAACAGTTTTGTTGCTAAGTTTGTTGAATTCAATGTTTTTGCTCATTTCAAGACTTTTCCCGGGATGCTAAGACAGAAATTGGCCGGGATATGTTTGGTTGAAAACCGCTGTTTGAGAGAAACTGCCAATTCAGTACTTTGTTCTTTGCCAGTTCAATTCTAGGCCTAGGCCTACAGAATGTTCTTTAAATGTAAATGTACTACATAAATGTACTACTTAGGCTACTGCTGCCTTTTGTAGCTATTGTTTTTTGTCTCTTGTAAAAAAATTGGGTTATTTTGTCTTGCAAAATGTTTCATCCAAAGTAGCATGAAAACTGTTTGAACTGGTATTAAAACAATTTTAAAACAAGTTTCATAAAAGTTTGATATTAAAGCTGTTTTGATACAAGTTGTAAGCACGTTTTAAATTGTATTGATACTTTTGGTTGAATGTTGTAATGAAACTGTTTTGATACAAGTGTTTAACAATTGTAATACAAGTTTAAAACAATTTTTAAAACCAGTCACAAAACTTAAAACTGTTGATATGAGTTTGAAACAATTTTTAAGCAAGTGCATAACAATTTCAAAAACAGTCACAAAACTTATATTACAATTTTTTTATATGAGTTTCAAACAATTTTTATACAATATTAAAACTAGTAAAATTTTTTTATATGAGTTTCAATCAGTGTTGATACAGTTTAAATCAATTTTAAAATTAGTCTTAACTTCTGCTAAAATTGTTTTAATTCGTTAAACCATCGAAAATTTGTAAAACTTCTGATTTTTATTCATTTAAATTAATTACTATTTACAAGTTTATTTGTAAATGAGAATGAAATTGAATTTAAAGAGGCAAACAATTAATGCTATGGAAAACATTTAAAATATTAAAGGTAACAAAAAAAAGTGTGCAACCGAAAAAAAGGTTATGATGCAATTCAATTCCTAAAATCCATTTTTTTAGCCCCTGAGCTGATCTTGTGACTAAATCATTAAATTAATAGAACTACCTTCGTCAATCAGCTCATAGTAGTATCACAATTTTACGGCCGTTTCAGCATCTTCGTGCCATCATCAGACTTTCAGCCTTAGTGGCGTCGTTAATATACAAAAACACAAACTGTCTCACGTGGCGTAGGTACACATACATAAACATAAACGGGGGTTTTTAACTAAAGAGGTTGCCAGTCAGCTACTCGCTCGAGTACAGATATGTGTATTCAACAGGCCTGTTTAGTTAAAAACCCCCGTTTATGTTTATGTATGTGTACCTACGCCACGTGAGACAGTTTGTGTTTTTGTATATTAACGACGCCACTAAGGCTGAAAGTCTGATGATGGCACGAAGATGCTGAAACGGCCGTAAAATTGTGATAATACTATGAGCTGATTGACGAAGGTAACTCTATTTAATGATTTTGTCAATTCCTAACTTATAAATTTGGCATTATACCCCTTTTGAGTGAAAAATGTTCACAATTTTATACTTATATTACAATAAATATAATTTCATAAATTTGTGTGTAATATATATATAGCAAAAAAGTGTATAAATATACATATACTAAACTCAATCAGTTAAATAGTACGTAGTTGAAAATTTAATTTCTTAATTTTAATATGCATTTATACACAACCTTAAATTCTTCTATTAAAGCAAACAATTTTGGTTCTTTAAAATCAAGTATCGAGATCTGGACCCAGATGACAAAACAATCCGATATTTACTATACATAAACCTATTGTACAATTTTAAACACAACAACATCTTAAAAGTGACGGCTAGTTTTTAAATGGTACCAAGTGTAGTAAATAAGGAGAATATTATACTAATCATTATATTAATTGTACCTTTTCTATCAAACAGCCGAAAATATCAATATCACGTAATTGGGCTTTATTAATTATTATATTTTTCAAATAATACATTGTAAGAGAAAATTTTGAAGTGAAATTACTATACCTAATTTAGCTTCGATGGATTTCGTTACACCAGTTGGTAAGAAGGAGCAGTGGTCTAGTGAGTAGTACGTTTTCTGTGGTATAAGCATAGATTAAACATGTATAACCTATGGTATAAGTGAGTGGATTTCTACGCTGTAGTTCCTGGTACAAATCCCGGCCGGTATAGTAAAATTTTATTATGCATTTTTAACTTTTTGATTTTTATTATATTTTTAATGCATAGTTATTCTAGTTGAAATGCTACTTGGGATTTTGTGTTACCCAGTCAAATGATTTAAATTCAGTTTTGTTTCTTTGTCCTTGCAAAACAAGTTAAATCTAGCTGGTTTTCATGCTCATTAAGGTTCCCTGAAAGTTTGAGCCAATTTAGTTAAGAAATAATTAAGTTTTGAGTAATTTAGTGTTTGGCAAGTTTTCAGTCAGGTGTTAACATGGGTTACCTGAGGTACTCAGCCGGCTTGGTATGGTCTGGAAAAGTTGCTGAAACATTTCCCCCAAGCAAGACACTTCCAAGCCAATTCTGTCAGTAACTTTTGATATTATTAACGATAATACATGTGTTGTCACGCTAGCCTAGTAAGTTTTTCGAAGAACGTCAAAAGCAGTTTTGAAGTATTTTTCTGTGATTTTTTTACCTCAAATATTAATGTTTCGATTTTGTACTGTGTTTATCTAGTTTAAAGGTCTTGTTTAACTTGTTAAATATTGTTTAAATGTTTAAGAGCTATTATAGAAACTACTTCTTGAAATTTTAGAATCCTTTTTTTGTTAGTGGCTTAACTTAGTGAAATTTTGGAACTTGGTGAAAAACAGTTAAAATGTGGCAGTGGAAGGTGTATGACCATTGGACTTAATATTGTAACTACCAGAATTCTGGGTTTTGTTACTCAGGGCTCCGGAGGAGAGCTATCATCTAGCTAACTTCAACCTCGTCGGAGAGGAAGTTTCCACCTTGGCTACCTCCTGGTTCAAGGCCCCCTCTCCGGTGCTGTACAAACTAAAACCGTCCTGTCACAAGTTTTTGTGATTTTCTTTTATTGTTACATTTATATAGAGATTTTTTTTGTTAATTGTTGCTGTTGCCACATGAACTTTTAGGGACTTTATTTACGATAAAATCTTTAAGCAAAGCATTCTAATTTTTGTTATCGTTCTTTCAAATTTTATTCTCATTAAGTTGTTTATTAATGATTTGATTTATTTATTCAACTCCCCCCCCTATACGGCTAATTTTGACAGAGCCCAAATTATTGATTGAATGGTATTTTTTATTGTTATCACTGTAATTAATTGTTTTACATAGTAGGAATTTAAAATTAGTAAAAGCTTTGAACTGAAAATCTTTTGATAACTAAGGAAATGGCTGTGACCTAGTAAGATAGATGAGGACAATAATCTATCTATAATATTAAAACGAAACAGGGTTTTTTTATTTCACGATTCTGAATCAACCACTCGACGGATTTTCACGATTTTTGTGTTGAAAGAAAGATAATTTTGAGAACTAGGGAATGTCGAAGCCATAATATTAGTTTAGGGTCCCAGTTTTTTAGAAATTAAGTTTTAGTTTTTGAAAAGTCTAGCAGCCGATGCTAACATTCTAAACTAGCTTTTGGTATAATTTGCTTAACATAACAGCTGTAAACATTCAGCGTTTGTGACACAAATTCAGCATTTGGATAAAAATTAAGACATACTTAGGGTTGACTTATTTATACTATGTGTAATGCTAATCATTGATGCGTTCAATTCTTCGGTAAGAGGGTGACAGATTAATTAAATATACATAGTAAAATACTAGGATGTTCAAATTATTTTTAAAAAGTAATATTTGCAATCTTCGGTTTGTTTTAGTGCAATATAATTTTTTTTAACTAACAGCTGGTTAAATATAAAAATACTCTATAGAACTATGAGGTTATTTTATTTACTTTTATGTTGTCATTGATTATAGGAAATAAGTAAGATTAGTAACAATAATTAGACCACCGAGATAAGTAACACCAGATATATACGTGTCAAGGCTCTGTACAGGAGTCTTAAAAAAAGGATATGCAAATTATTTTACTGCTCAACTTTTTGAGAATAGAGTAGGAAAATAAAGATTTTTACATCTTGGTAGGTTTTTGCTTACAATTTAATATTTGACTGCTTAAACTTGGTTTGAATTAGGCCCGGAAATATTGATGTCATAAAAAATGAGATCAAGAATCATTAGGAATCACGATTTTAAATTTCCACCACAACCTCAGACGGGGTTTATCCAAATATATACAGATGAATGGCATAGATTGAACACAACGTCATCATTGACCTAGGATACTGCAATTAGACTAACCATCCTTTTATGAAATCTAAAATGTTGTTTGGCGTGTGTTCAGTTGTGGTTACGTTTGGAGGCACTGATGTAGGCAAAATATCACTTTTATTTCAACTAAATATTTTATAGTTTAAATAAATGAATATGGTAAATCAAGGATATTAGAACTGATAACGGTATGGATAATAAACATACCATCACTATCTTTACTAGCGTGTTTTTTTTCAATCCCTTCAACATGTGACCAGTTCTTTTTTTCAAACGAATGTTATTTTAACCAAACGGCTGAGTCAAAACAAACTATATTTTGTTGTTTTTACCTTTTTTTTGTTACACTTATTTATTTAGCAATTGATGTAGTGAAATTTATATAAAGGATAGGTGTGGACGATTTGTTTAATGATGTCAAGACACCAACGTTATATTATGTGTAGGCTACTGTGAATTTTATTGGATATTTTCGTTTTATTTTATTGAGTTTCTATTCAGACCTACTGGAAATTGTGTATAGTATAAGTAATTGTATTGTGGTGATAATAATTAGAGGAAGAGGCAGGTATGTGATGGAAGGTGGTATCGTTGACTAAGCCTATACACTTCTCAATTGATAATTACTCTTTTTACTGTATGCTACTTATAATCAGTGTGCGAATCAGCCACAAATCTCACTTCAACGCTTTTCCCATCGTCACATTTACTGTTTTATTTTAAAATTATCGGATTTAAAATGCATATAGTATAGGCCTATGATGGGATAAAAACCTATTTGGTCACGCAACATTTGTTTGGAAGATGATTTTTCACATTAAATCTGCAATAAAATTGGTCTTTACATACGTGTAAACCAGCTGTTCTGAATTATACACAGTTTTGACTGACTACTCGATTCCCGTACGTAGGACGAGCTAACACCTCGTTTTTTTTAATTTCAGAAATTCCTGTTTTACATGTATTATTGTGTATGATTTGTTTTGTTTTTAAGTTCATTACAGCTGATTTTTCTCAAATGACGCGTTGTTCTTGAACCTTCCTCCTCGGGTTTTCTTGTTTGGTAGTTTTGTGAGCCGCTCCTCGTCCCTGCACATGGGATCACGCTTCCAATTTGTTGCCTGGGTGCAGGTGCGAGGGCGTGGTTCATAACATTTGTGGAATGCATGTAAGTGTTTATTTGAAACTAAATAAAATAAAATAAATTACGATTTGATAATCAATATCGACGTTACTTGTTCATTCAGTATTAGCATATTGATATTGATATTTGTTTTGCAGATGCAGTTGTCTTAGGCTTCGTGGATGTTGTACAATATAATCAACCAAAAGTATCGTGCAAACAATATGCAACCGAATCCAACAACCTGTTTTGTGCGGTGTACGAAGCACCTTTTAAACTAAACGTCAATGAAAACTCAGCAGAATTCAACAGTATTGCGTTCGTACAAAACCTACAAACAAAGGAATTTGTGAGAGCTTTTGCACACAGTAACTGCAAAGACTTTGCTGAACACCTGTCTGCATCTGGCGACTCACTCGAGTTCCAAGTGTCTCCCGACAAAGTGGCGTCAATATCCAAAGAGAAAAATGAGCTGAAGGCAGATGGAACAAGCTTTACTGCATCTCAATGGAAAAAAACGTACGTACGCATTACACGAATTCTCCATTACTGTACTTGCTTTTGCTTACATTTGATAATCCAAACTCTCATCTAATTTGTCACCTAGTCTTCTTATACCCCAGTAGTCACACGTGTATGTACACACTTTTAAAAGCTAATTCCAAACGACCTTTTAACCATTTCAACTAGGTACAGGCGTATGGATTAAAATATGGCGTAACTGTTTTCCAAAACAAATTAAATTGGAAATACATTTCTTAACATAACATACTTTGCACATTGCCTTACGTCGTACATTTATTTTTTAAGTTCACACACATTCTAAAGAGTGCATTGATATTATTTGTAAAACTGCTGAACTAACATTTGTTTCAATCAATGTCATTGTATCTTAGGTTATATTTAAAACTAGATAAGAAAAGATAAATAGACAGATGCCAGTGAATCGTCTTCGCGTGCTTAGCTGAAGGAACGTACCAAGACACACAACTCATAGTTTAAAGATTTGTCACCGGAGAGCACAACTTTCTGTACAAAATGTAGACGTTTGCATAAAACCAATTCGAACCCAATATTTTAAATTGTTCTAGGACTAAGATATTAGGCTACTAAGTAATTTATTATGTTGAACCCTTTGGAACAATTTTATTTCTGAGATATTTTCTCGCACCTGTGTTTTCTGTGTCACTGATTTAACTATTTTAATTTAGGAAAATATACCTTACCATTTATGTATTTTTATTCAAACTTACTGACAGGTCCTAATACTGTAACCGAACAAAGTGATTATTTCATTTGTTGTACTATAATGGGTTTAAAAAGTTGGACAATTAACAAAATTAGAAAATTAACAAAATGATGAACCCTTAAAATATTTGTACATAATTATGCATCTTAACACAAAATGATGTATATATATAATTACATAATTATATAATTACTATTACATAATTACGATTATATAATTATATATATATAACTATAGGCCTATAATTATTGTACATGAGTAGGCTACCCAGCGCTTGGGCCCGCCAATCAGAGAGCAGCATTTCATCCCCACCCCTCCGTAGGCCACGCCCCCTAGCCAATCAGAGAGCAGCATTTCATCCCCACCCCTCTGTAGGCCACGCCCCCTAGCCAATCAGAGAGCAGCATTCCACCTAGGCCACGCCCCCTAGCCAATCAGAGATCAGCATTCCCAAGCCAATCAGAGAGCAGTATTTCCCTTAAGCCATGTTCCCTGGTGTCCCACGTGGTCTATCCTCACACGTGTTCTAACCTCATTTTTATTTTCCCGCCAAATAACGTAACCTCATCTCCCAAAGCAAATATTGTAAATGTGATTGGTAAGGATTGAACCTGTGAACCTCTTAGATCAACGACTAACACTACTCCCGCTATGATACATCACCATAACAAAAATCAACATTTCACCCCGACCAGAAATAAAACGTTTGGTGATTGGTAAGGATCGAACCCGTGAACCTCTGGCTCATACATAGTCTCATACACAGTCAGCTACTAGAAAGAAACATTATTCAGATTACCCATCACCCCAAAAATACATGGCATCTATTAAATGTAAATTTAACATTCAACATTTTGGTGGCCTTTACAAAGGCCGTTTTTTATGCTCAATGGTAAAGTTCCGTTTAAGCCTTCTTTCAGTTGTTTTTAACATTAGATACGTGAATTATCATTTGTTTTGTCATTGTAATGGACTGCAGTATATTATAGGTGTATGTAAATAAGACTCAGCAAAGATTGTAATTGTGATTGGTAAGGATCGAACCCGTGAACCTCTGGCTCATACACAGTCAGCTACTAAAAAGAAACATTATCCAGATTACACATCACCCAAAAAAAAAAAAAATTAAAACATGACATCTATGAAATGTAAATTTAACATCCAACATTTTGGTGGCCTTTACAAAGGCCGTTTTTTATGCTCAATGGTTAAGTTACGTTTAAGCCTTCTTTCAGTTGTTTTTAACATTGGATACGTGAATTATCATTTGTTTTGTCATTGTAATGGACTGCAGTATATTATAGGTGTATGTAAATAAGACTCAGCAAAGATTGTAATTGTGATTGGTAAGGATCGAACCCGTGAACCTCTGGCTCATACACAGTCTCATACACAGTCAGCTACTAGAAAGAAACATTATTCAGATTACCCATCACCCAAAAAATAAATAAATAAAACATGACTTCTATGAAATGTAAATTTAACATCCAACATTTTGGTGGCCTTTACAAAGGCCATTTTTATGCTCAATGGTAAAGTTCCGTTTAAGCCTTCTTTCAGTTGTTTTTAACATTGGATACGTGAATTATCATTTGTATTGTCATTGTTATGGACTGCAGTATATTATAGGTATTTGTAAATAAGACGCAACAAATATTGTAATTGTGATTGGTAAGGATCGAACCCATGAACCTCTGGCGCATATACAGCTTCATACACAGCCAACTGCTAGGAATCAACATTATTCAGATTACAATCATCCTAACAATACATAACATCTATGAAATGTTGATTTAACGTTCAAAATTTGGTGGCCTTTACAAAGGCCGTTTTTTATTCTCAACGGTAAAGTTCCGCTTAAGCGTTCTTTCAGCTGTTTTTAACATTGGATACGTGAATTATCATTTGATTTGCTTTTGTAATGGACTACAGCATGTAGATATATATAAAATAAAATAAAAATTGAATGTTTTTTCTTAGATAATTAAACACATTGCCTAGTATATAATGGTTTTAATAGTATGGTTTAGTAATATATATCTACGATTTAAATTTACATTTCTCTATCTAAAAATTAATAATGTCTAAGAAGAAATGGTGGTCATTTGTAAAGTTTTGTTTAATGGCTATTACTAATATCTTTTATTTACATTAATCTAAACAGTGTTTGCAAACATTATATTTCTACAAATTTTCTTCTTCTTCTTCTTCTTCATCATCACGGTTCTGTAACAAACAAGGAAATGCTAATAGCGTGTATCCTGGTTGCTGATTGGTTGTAATAAGCTTGTACCTGATTGGTCATAAATAGGTGATCTGTTGTGTGATTGGTCAATTTTTGCTATTTATACTTTCCATTACTAATTTTCTTTCACTTTGCTTTCGGCAATTGAACGTGTTGGATGTGTGCTCTTGTGTTTGACGTTTTGAGGTTATGTTTGCAAGTTATTTCTAGTGTTAATGTTAGTCTGATTATTTATTGTGTAGTGGATCAGTTTTATAGTAAGTGAACATTGTTTCTTTTGTGTAACGTGTTGTGCAATCGGTGTGTTATATTAAGCTTTGTGTGCGCGCAGCTGTGCCCACACCACATCTTGTGTCCCTGTTTTGTATTGTGCAATCCGTGTGCTATACTTAGCTGTGTGCGCGCGCAGACTGTGCCCCCACTAGAACTAGTGTATCTGTGTCCCTTTCACTTTGCTCTAGGCATCTGACTACGATGGATGATAGTATGGCTGATAATGTATCCGATGAAGTAGTTGAACCCGCTAAAGTAGTTGAGCCTGTTACTTTGATTAGTACTGATCAAACTTATGTAAATAAATTTAGATTGTATGGAAGTAAAACAGTATTTAAATTCACTAATCCGCCTCCAGAGACTAACGAGATTGATTGGTTGAGACAAGGGTTTGCGCAAATTGTAAATAGTATGAAAGAGCAAGCATTTGAAAACGATCAACTTGGGTTTACTCTACAAAGTCTTAACTTGAAATCAAAAGCACCAGGCTATGTAAATTTTCGCCCTGCTAGTGAAATTGATGAAAATGTTTTGTGGCAAATCTTTGGTGGTATTGTGCAATCAAACTCTGAAACTATAAAATCTACTGACACCTTTAAAGTGGAATGCACTAGAATTAACCTTCCTGTAGGTTCTGGGAGAGTAAGGCCTGGGTTTTACAATACGTTTGATGAGGAATGCAAGTCAAGGCGGGGAATTGTTGTCATTAACAATAAAGATAAATTGTGTTTGCCTCGTGCAATTGTAGTGGCTGTTGCTAATCTAACTAAAGATCCTGAATATAAAGCTGTGAGGCAAGATAAGGCAAATAGGCAAACAGTTAGGGCCCAGGAACTTGTTCGTCGAGCTAGGGTTGAAATGCCAGAGGGTGGAGGTGGGATCCCGGAACTTGAAAAATTTCAGGTGTTTTTGAGGGACTACAAAATTGTTGTGTACAACTATGACAGGAAAGGACGTGATGTGTACTTTGAAGGAAATGTAGAGAACCCCAAGTTCAAAATTAACTTGTTGTTTCACAATGGACACTACAATGTAATTAATTGTTTGACTGCTGCTTTTGTTTGCAATTATTTCTGTGAAGTTTGTCATGTACCCTACGATCATAAAAGAGAGCATCGTTGCTCAAATATTTGCCCACAGTGCCAGACCATCTCACCCCCTTGTGTAGCGGAGAGTGGTGGTATTTTATGTAATAAATGTAACATGACCTATCGAAACCAGGAATGTTTTATCGCGCATCAAGCTGACAGATGTAAAAATGTAAAAAAATGTCTCGATTGTGGAAAATTGGTTTGGATTAGAGATCGCCCCAAGCCTCACAAGTGCGGTGAAGTATATTGTAAGCCTTGCAGTTCATTTGAAGACCCTAACCACAAATGCTATATGAAACCTGACACGAAAAAGCCAAAATCAAAAGATTTTCTGTTTATTTTCTTTGACTTGGAAACACGCCAAGACGAGTCCCTGCCCTCAGATCCCGATTCTAAATTGCATCAAGTGAACTTGTGTGTCTCACAACAGTTTTGCTATCAGTGTATTGAGGCAAAATTTTGTATGGCTTGTAAAAATCGTACGCGAGTGTTTAATTCTGAACCAGTAACTCAGTTCATGGACTATGTGATGCAAGTCCGTAAAAATTTCAAAGATGTTTGTGTCATTGCACACAATGGGCAGGGCTTTGATTTTCAATTTTTGCTCAAGTATGTTTTGGAGGATACAAAGTTCACTCCGAAACTTGTAATGCGGGGAACT